CCACCTTTTTTCTTCAAAAATTTACCATTGATAAAGGTCGCTCAAGCATTACTTTTACATTTTTTACATATCAAACATAATAAAAAATTAATTCTCAACAAATTTCTAACCGGTCTAAAAAGATAGCCACTTTTTTTTTATGTTCGAAGCTTTTAAAACAAATAATCGAATACAACAATCTTTTAACGTTTAACCAAACCATAATGAATACTATTATTCCATTTTTTCACTCATTTAAATTTAATATCTTCTCAGTAAAGAAGACCTAAAACTGAAAGGTTTGGGTAGATGTTTTTCTATATTTGACGGATAATAAAGAAATTTAAATTGGTAAAATCATTAAAAGGAGGAGCCGACGTAAACTTTAACGGTCGATCGAAAAGAAATTTTTTTTCATTAGGTTTTTTAGGTAGTATAGCGAACATTACAAAAAACAGAGCAAGTATGCTCAAGCATTTAATTCTATAAATATCGTCATCAACTGTGATGCTTGAGCGTCATCACGATTATTATCTGATCAATTGATTTAGATGCTTGAGAACAGCACAATTGGTATTATTCGCATTATAACAACAAGGTTTGGGTGATCTATGAACATCGAATTCCTTTGATCTTTGGTTATTGTCTGCCAATCGATTTACCAGCCCGGGAACATTGATTAAAATAAAATGATCATAGGTCTAGTCGGACACTTGCAAGAATATGGCCAAATCAATCTGATTTATCTATGATAACAGACTATCTCCGGCTATCCGGTCACTCGCGAATAACCAGATTTATCTATGCATTAATATGAAGTGTGAGTCATGGCATTAACAAACTGCGCACATATTATTATTTGTCTAGTCAACTGCGCCAATTGCTTCCATTAGCATAAAATTTAAATTTAAATATGATGCGAACTGTATAAATACATTAAAACGCGGCGAAGTGGATAAATATATAGGTAATACTTTATTAAGAATCATTAATCAAAATACTGTATTAGGGCCATGCAATCTAATAAAGTAAATGCTGAAATTAGGTGCGTAAGTCTGGGTTGGCGCATTTATCTTTCCTATTATCTTATTGCAGAATTTACAACATTCTTTCCACTTTAGTTCTTTTTTATACGTTGGTTCTAAGCCATAAGCATACGTATCGATATGTTATACAAATAATTGAAAAATTTCGTGCCCCTGGGCGTGAGTACAATACTTAATATTGAGATCGCCTTATACTGATCGGAATTTGTGTTTTTGGATACCCGATATCTATAAATTACAAATACTAAAACACACGGCATATTTCTGTTTTAATATACAGCGCACAGCAGATTTGTTTTTGTTTTTTAAAATAATTTTTAGAAATCCATTTTAAATAATATGCAAGTTTACGTAACTACCATAACCTTTTTTAAACCAATAGAAAGCCATATGTAAAAAGCTAAACCAAACAGTTATTTATTTAACGAAGTCAAATGCGTAAATATCGTCTACTTTTGATCCTTTCGTAGGGCTTGAATTGCATTTAGAAATGTAATGATCAATTTTCTGTTGGAAAACAAAGTAATTTAGTACTTTTTCATATAGAAATATAGAAATTAAATTTTGTAGTCAATTAATGACAAACCAAATTATTCTGATTATATAATATATTTGCCCATGTTTCACCTTTCTGTCTAACTGATATATTATGATTTTTTCCATTCTCACGGAGTACTCCTTCATTCCAATAATCAATCGATTCGACTTTCACTGCTCCAAAAAATGTTACTGCCTTTTTTTTATTTTGCTTACTTTGAACGGGAAGGTCAATGTCAGTAGGTAATGGACATTTAAATTCGACGCTATAAGTCTAACCATTAATAATAGGAATTTATTAAATTATTATTGTTTGATAATATCAAAATTTCTCCGATTTAAAATTGTTATGATGTATAATGTTACTTACAACACTACCAACACGGTTAGTACCAAAGAAAAGAATTTTATCATCACTATTGGATATAGAGGTACGAGGGTTTAATTGTGTATGCCATTTACGATTTCCAGAATATTTTTCAGGACGGAGTTTTTGATATGCCTGCTTCTTAGATGTTGTGACGGCAGCTTTTGGTGACAACTTTGTTTCGGTTCTAAAAGGAACATTTGTTATCGAAGACTTACTGGGATTAATACTTGCTGCGTTATCTTTAGGTGTTTCTCCAGTATTAATAGTAGCAGTTGTAATTGTAACTTTATGATGTTTGTCTATCTTGATAAAAACTTCATTAGTTTTTAAAAGTTTGTTGGTTTTTGCGACAAATTTTGGGTCATTAACAAAGTTTCTAGTTAACATTTTTTTTTTTAATAAAAAAAAAAAAATAAATTACTGTATTAAAAAATTAAAATTATTCTATTAATCCAGTTTAAGACATGTTTATATACTTTTTTAATTTATGGAACAAATATAGAAATAAATAAATAAAGCATGTATATAGATGTAAATGATGTCATTAATTTGAAAACAAAAAATTTGATAATCTTTAATTTGGTAATTTTTATTATAGTTAGAGATATACCGGATTAGAAAAACAGAATCTACAGTTATCTATATAATTACAAACTATATATATAATTATATAATTTTATTAGTGGTTTATTATTAAAAAAAAATTTATATAATCACAATAAGCTTATACTGTATAGTTATATATACCTTTTTATAATTACATTTTATATAAAAATTTTTTATAATTATATTATATAAAAATTTTTTATAATTATATTAGACAATTTGAATTATATATATATATAAAATATAATTATTTACATGTAGCCATATTTAATAATTCTATAATAACAAAATTTTACTAGGATAATTCTGTTGTATAACTAAGTAAAAGTACTTTTCCTACAATTTTATTCTAACTTCAAACTCCAACTACTTATCAAATTATCAAAAGCTTATTGCTAGCTTTGCCAAGATTGCCTTTTTCTTAACATTTTTTCTTCTTTAAATAAGTATAGAAATCTAAAAATATATATAAAAAAATAAATATGATTAATAAAAAGAGAAAAAAAGAAAAAACAAAGAAAAAAAAAATTTATAAAAAACAAATATAAAGAAAAACAAAATTAAAAAATAATAAAAAAGAAAACAAAAAAGATAGTAAAAAATTTTATCTACTATTATTATCTGTGCTAGACTTAAAAAATTATATAACAAATATAGTATTTGTATATAAAGCTATTATCTGAGTTGGCTTAACCTATACAGGTCAGAATTTTAACAGATCATGAGTTAAAAACTGCCTTGACCTGGATTAGTTAAATGGACAGATATCTGGTTTTTTTTGATGTAGAAAATAAATGAATCTAATTATGAGCAAGGTCAAAAGTTTTTTTTAACACAAACCCTGAGATTTTCTGATTTAGAATAATTCTATTTCAAATATATAATTAAGCTTAACCTATATGACTATTGACAAGAGTCAACTCAGGTCAAAAATGGTTGACCTGAGTCAAACCTGGGTTGCTATTTTTTGACCCTAGTTACTGCTCTATTTGTATATCTTTATTATAAAGCTTCACTTTAATATTTAATTTTTTACAAAAAATATATTAACGATCACCTAAACCAAATTTTCTAACAAAAAAAAAAGCCAAGTTTCTATACTAGAGAGTTGTAATAGCCTGTAGTGAGATGACAACAAGGTGGTTTTTATAAAGATTAACCCTTTTCTACTTCTCAAAAAACTCCTTTTTATATTTGATATACAAGCCAAAAGCATTGGTATACAAGATAACTAGCAGAAGGTATACGAAATTTTGGTAAATAGGTGAAGGTGATAAAAGTTTAAATCTTTTGTTGATGAAGCTAGCTGTTGTGTAACAACTAAAGAACAGTAAAGAATAGATATATTTTAAGCTACATTTCTTTTTTTGACCAAGTGGTTTATACTATACCTTTTTTTGCTTCCTTGTCTTTTTTTTTTAAAATTTTTTATAAAAAGTAGGGATTTGGCTTACTCTCTCAGTCATTTTTTGTTTATATAAACAAAAAACGACTTAGATTAGACTATTATAGTCTCAGGTATGACGAGCATTTTGCATTTGTGTCGTCATTCGAGTGACAAATGATTCGCACTTGTGTCGTCAGAGATATATTAGTATTCGCTTCATCATTTGAGTAATGAACGATTCATGCTTGCGTTGTCATTCGAGTGATGAATGATTTGCACTTGCGTCGTCAGAGATATATTAGTATTCGCTTCATCATTCGAGTGATAAATGATTCACGCTTGTGTCGTCATTCGAGTGACAATTGGTTCACGAGTTCGTCATCACACTTAGGTACCCATGATCTATAAAAATATGACGACGTATTTGTGTTTACATCGTCACACTTAGATACCTCACGATCTATAAAAAATATGACGATAATTTTATATTCACGTCATTACACCAAAATGTATCAATATTTTTGTCCTTAGTTGACCCTAGTTGACCTTAGTTGAAATTTTACTAGGGCTACTACTAAGGCTGACTTTTTGACTTTCTGAAACTGTTTGATTTTTTTCTTTTATTCCTGTCACTAATAACCCTAGTGTCCTTAAGAAAAATAAGATTCTAGAAAAAAAATCATTACTCTATAGTACCTACTGTATAAAATAGATATATATACGTATATACATATAACATATATGTATGATAAACAAAGAAAAATAAAAAGTAAAGAGATGTGGTGACTTAGTGAAGTGGTCTAGTTGTCACCCTCACCAAACATTATGGGAAGATCCCATGTTCAAATCCCAGGGATGG